AGAATAAATGAATCATAACGTAACAAGAACAAACTAAAAGTAATCTTTCAATTCATTAAATTTTTAAACGACATTATTTATAAAAACAAAACCGAATAAATAAAATGACCCGAAAGAAATCATATTACTTTGTAAAGTTAAATTTGAATTTAATTAATTTTCTGTTTCTATTTATCGTTAATAACTAAATTCGAATTATTTATTTTTATGTTTGTGATTAATATTATATCACGTATCAAAATACGGGATAATCCCTTCAAATATATATAAGCTTTGTTAACCATCCATTCATCTCCTATATGTTTGTGTATGTTGTTTGCTTGCTTATAAGGTATATTTCATTAATTTGTTTAAGAAAGAAAATTATACAATAACCCACTCATCGCGTGGACGGTTATCTAGTATGAATATAAAATATTGTGATCAAAGGAGACTTATTAAATTAGTCAAGTCTAATTGGAAATTTGGTTGTGTTAACACTAATTACGATTATTTTGTTTCTCCATAATATGACGGGCGTTGCTTAATGAAGATTCGGCGACTATGCCTACATTCATTGACATGTTGGCATGTTGCGTGGTCAAACGAATCGGCGGATAATGACAGTGAGGCGATTTTATTTGTCACGTCTTGAAAATGTTGACTTTGTTTTAGCTTGTGTTGTGGATAACCGTACATTAAGTTGACAAAAAATATGCAATTCCGTGAAAAGATTTCATACGGATTCACATTTTAGACATGTAAATTAGCAATTACGGTTCTTTCGGATAACAACACCGAGTTGGTTAATCTAAATCAGAAAATATTAAAGACTTGTAGTCATCTAATTGTCCATTTCTCCGAGCATTTTAGGTGTTAAATTATACAAAAAATTGTTGACAAAAGATAAATGTTTTGTATTATCCAATTTTATATCTTATTTTTCTTTTCTTCTATATGTTTTGTCTAATCTGAAAATATTTACCCCCTTCATATCTCTTGTTTATTTTTTTTTTCGTATGAATTGTTTTGATTTCGCAATCATATCCAAAAAGCATAATTCTTTTTTTTTTCTGCATATGGCATGGTTTAATTTTTTTTTAAAAGGAATAATAATTACTTGTTAAATGAATGTGTGATTTTAAATGAGAACTCGTCAGTGTATATATTCAAAAACATAGATTTTTAACAACTTGACAGAGAGCAAGAACAAGCCTCCAAGTACATTATGAATGACTTTATTTAACAACTTGACAGAGAGCAAGAACAAGCCTCCAAGTACTAAGAACCTCCAAGAACAATGTACTGGACATTATCTGATTCTTCTAGTTTATTGTGTGTTCTTACCTTTATTCTTATATTGATATGGTTATCATGAGCTTAGCTTCGAACGGGCAGAGTTGGGATACTCTGCTCGTGTCTAAAGAAGTTATCTGGATCAACCTTTGTTTTAATTCTCACCAGTCTGTTGAAATTGTCTTTGAAGTACTTAGCTCCCCAGATTTTAGCTTCTATGAAGTTAACCTTTGAGTTGTTCCTGTTCTGTCCGAAGTCTAGATCTCTGTAGTTCACATATGCTTGTCTTGGATTGCTTGAGACATAAGGCGCCATGTAACTGTACATCTCTTTGATCCAGTTGATGTGTCTACTCTGTCTCTTGTCATTCTCTTGCCAGTTCGTTTGATAAAGAATCTTGAAGAGGGTTCCGTTTCGATGCGGAAATGGGATCTCAGATTCAGGAATTTTCGCCATCATACCACCGTAAGGAGTCCAATTCAGAAATGGTGCGTCTCTTCTATCAATCTTTTAAACAATCCTTTGAGCCCTAAAGCGGAAATAGGTTTTGTAACGAAATCTGACGTGGCTTTGAAGTAACCTTTTCCTAAAGGAGACTTGACTTGAAGCAAAACTTCAATAGGAGAACCTGTTGGAAATCCACCACCGAAAAGGGTGGATTCAATCCAACTCATTTCGATACAATCTTCTTGAGTCAACCCTAGCTCTGGAAAAGCCTTCTTCATAACCTTCATCAAGATGCCTTTCTTGCCAAGAAACTGACCTTTGTAGGACATTGTCACAGTCTTGTTTCCGTTATTTCCAATGGCTCTGAGTTCCACTCGGATGTGTAGCTCTTCAATAAGCTTGGATGCAATTCGTTGCCACTTAGAAATAATCTTCAATCTTGCGTCTTGTTTTAATGTTTTGGTAACAGTGAAGACGGTTAGGGTTTCAGGAACAGGAACAAGCTTGCGTCTTGTTTTAATGTTTTGGTAACAGTGAAGTCGGTTAGGGTTTCAGGAACAGGAACAAGCTTGCGTCTTGTTTTAATGTTTTGGTAACAGTGAAGACGGTTAGGGTACCTAAGCTATTAAAAAAATAAAAAAAATGAAAGAAGAAAAGAGAGACATAGCAACGTTTCTAAAACAAGGTATGCATAAAAAACTATCTCTATACATGTTATTCATTTAGTGGTCCAGTTTTTATTTAAAATTTAAATTTAAATATAAAACTAAATTACATCTAAAATACTATTACTTTATTACTAAAAACTCTAATTGGATTTCTTTACCGTTGGGGTTGCTCTAATTTACCTATTTGTTATGAATTTTAAAATTTAAACACCAAACTATCATATAAAAAGCAAAATCAGAAACGATACAATGCAAAATTAAGATTCAATGCAAAATTTAGAAGGAAAAAAAAAAAAAAAAAAAAAAAAAAAAAAAAAATTAAGAAGAAAAAAAAAGCAACAAATTTAATCTTGAAAAATGAATACTAGACCCTAACGTCCCTAACAATTGAAGACTCATGCACGCCAAAATCGCATGGACGTGGATAAGCCTCGGCTTAGCTTGTTTCTTATTTGATAAAAGTAAAATCTATACTAGTATAATCGCAGCACTTTTTGTGACGGGTGGGTAAAAAAGTTTTCGGGTATATCGGATATCCGACCCATTTTAAAAATTCCTTCACAAAAAATTTGTTGGGTCGGGTTATATTTAACCCAACTCAACACCGGATATTCCATATTTAATAATTTAGATTTTTAGAAGATTTGATTAAGATTTATAATTATGATTCTCCTATCATCTTTGTTTTGATTTGTTTTTAACTGTTTTGAATCATCATATAATACATAAAGTAAAAAAAAAATCAATTTTTTTTTCTGCATATACTGTGATTCGAAATTTTAAAAACGGACATATATTATCCAATTGACGAAAATGTGTGTTCAACGTTCTACATCGATTAAAATATTTAGACAATGATTCAGAATCATATCATAAATAAGAACATTAATAAAATAAATGAGTTTTTTGGCGGGATGGGTTTGGCGGGACGGGTTTTTGAATCAACAATAATAAAAAGATTAAAATATCATTAATCCGCCGCTTCAATACGGATTTAATCCTTATTTTTTTAATACAAATCACAGGACGGGTTAAGAAATTACGGAACGGGTTATATTTCGGAAATGATTTATATGGCGGACGAATTTGAATCAATATTTATATACCGCTTTAATACGGGTTAAATCCTCAGTTTATTAATAATTATCTCGTGGACTCGTGGTATACCGTTACTTAATAACAATTGTAAACTATAATATAAATAAATATGTTATAAGGAGATACAATTTACAAAATATTTTTATACTAACTTTAAAATTAAATCATGTTAAAATCTAATTGTAAAGTATAAATGTAGTTAGATAAAAAAATATATAGGTAGTTAGTTATATTAAGTAATATAAATATTTAATTTTGTAAAAATATATTGAGAAATAATTTAAAATTAAATAAATAAATTGATATTTAAATGCTTGTGGATGTCATGTCTCGGTGAAGGCCTTTGTCAATGTCATGCTTGTGGATGCAGACAACCATATTTTGGGCAAACATATCCGTTTGACAGCTGATCTGCAATCTTTTGGTATTGTAAATAAAGAATTTTCCGTTTGACGATATATGTTCGCATTTGTAGATGAAAATTTTTAATGTAAAACAAAAAAATATCAAAAAAAAAAAAAAAAAAAAAAAAGAAAATATCAAATATATCACAAATATGATTGTTAATATAAAGATGGGAGACTCACAAAAATGCCCCTTTTTCAATGTCCCTTTTCAAAAATGCCACCTTTAGCTGTTCATTTTTAAAAATACCCCTTTTTATGTACAAAATGACTAAATTACTCTTCTTTTAATAAATTATATAATAAATATATAAAGAAAACATGAGAATGTGCACACATTAAAATTACAAATTTGATTTTGTAAAAACTTGTAAAACCTTTAAAATACCTTGTAAAATTTTTCCCGCCAAAAATTTTTTTTTGCGGGAAAAGTGATTCCACAATTGTTTTGGGGTTAAATTTTTGGCGGGAAAAATTTACAAGGTATTTTAAAGGTTTTTTACAGGGTATTTATAAGGTTTTACAATGTATTTTAAAAGGTTTTACAACGTATTTATAAGGTATTTATAAGATATTATAAGATTTTACAAGCTATTTTATAAGGTTTTACAAGTTATAAGGTTTTACAAGTTTTTTATAAGGTTTTACAAGTTATAAATACCTTATAAAACCTTATAAGTACCTTGTAAAACTTTTTAAAATACATTGTAAAACCTTACAAAACACTTGTAAATACTCTGTAAAACCTTTAAAATACCTTGTAAATTTTTCCCGCCAAAAAAATTACAGAATCACTTTTCCCGCAAAAAAAAATTTTTGGCGGGAAAAATTTTTACCGGAAAATTTTACAAGGTATTTTAAAGATTTTACATGTTTTTACAAGTGTTTTGGCGGGAAAATTGCGGGATCTATTTTCTCGCCAAAAAATATTTTGTATTATGTAGACCTAATTTTGTTTCAAATAAGGATAAAATGGTCATTAAAAATTAAAAGAGGGCAAACTTAAAAATAGACTCTCAAAGGGGGCATTTTTGAAAAGGGATATTGAAAAGGGGGCATTTTTAACAATTTCTCTATAAAGGTTTCATAATTCATAGATATTAAACTAAATTCAAAATAAAGATTTCATAGATATATGGTAAGCAACATTACCTGTAGTAAAGCTCGCCAAGCGTGGCACCAGGTTGAACCCAAGCACTATTGTCTTTAATATCAACAGTGATTTGTCTCAATTTCGACATATCGAGTAATATAAACGGTTTTTCAATCCGTGAAACATAAGACAAGGCCTCAAAATCGTGACCGCCACTTCTAACACGAAAATGAATACCGAGTTTCTTGGAACAGATGATGGAAGCTTGGACTTGAGACTCGTGAATCGGCCTAAATATGAATCCCGGTTTAGGCATGGATTTTGCCAAGAACCGGAGATTTTGAGCCGTTGATTCAAGGACTTGGCTGAACATAGAGCGTTTTTCGCAGGAGTAAATAACGTTTTCTCTAGTGGAAAAGAAACATGCGTTTTTCTTTTGACACAGTTTATGAATTGATCTTGCATGGAGGCTGATGAAGAAGTTGGTGTTATGGTGTAGAGTGAAAAATAGAGGACTAAAATAGAAAGGAATGAAAATCCCATTCTAATCCCATTCTTCTAATCCCATTCTTTCTATAAGTAAGTTCTTCTGCTCGCTCTTATTGTTTGCTACCACTTTGATCCCAACAACATCTGCAAAACTCAGTGTATTAGTAAGGAAAACATCTAGCTTTTTACACGCTCTCCTTTATTTTCTTCTCTATGAAAGATCATTGCTCAAATGCCTAGTCTTCTACATAAAGTAGTCATATATTGACTACATAAAGTAGTCATATATTGACTACAAATATTAACCAAGTCAAGTATTTGTCATCATGAATCGTTTGATTTATTTTACCAAAAAAAAAAAAATGAATCGTTTGATTTTAGTGCCATTTAAACTTAAAACAGATAAAGACATTATTAAGAGACTTACCAACTTGACCATAAGCGTTGACGAAGACGGAAGAACAATTAGGCTCGAGATGGAATTGGATGTGTTTTGTGTTTTTTTTTTTTTAAGAAATGTGTTTATATACTTATAAAGGATTGTCAACACAAGATTCATTTGATTAGTCGATGAGAATATAATATGGATAAATAGCATGACTTTTATAAGATAAGGTGCTTGTGTTTATAACTAAGTACAAATATATTTTCTTATGATGGAATTTTTTATTTATTTATTGGTTCAGTGCAGAAATTTATTTTGATGAATATAAAATATTGTGATCAAAGAAGAGAGTCTAATTTGAAATTTGATTTTGTCTACAATCATTGATATGTTAGGTGGTCAAACGAGTCGGCGGATAATGACAGTGAGGCGACTATTTTTTTGGTCATGTCTTGAAAGTGTTGACTTTGTTTTAGCTTGAAAATTTCTTGATTTTTTTTTTGTTTGTGGAAAACTGTACAATGATTTAAGTTCAAAGATTCATATCGATTCACAATGATTTCGTGATAAAATAGTTTTAGACATGTAAATTAACAATTACGGTCGCAGATTGGATAACAACACAGAAGTGGTTAGTCTAGATCAGAAAATGTGGTTAAGAGTGATTAAAAAAACCAAGTCGTTTTTTTTTCAACTTTTATGATCGAAATAATTTTGCTTTGTAACTTTATATTAACTATAATTCATTCATGCTCATGTGACTGCAACTATTTTTTGTATAAACCATTATGGTACAAGTTATTTTATTTTGTAGTTTTGAAACAAAATTTTCTACAAAAACGGACGATTTAAAAAAAGATCTGTATAACTTTTGTTACTTTTGATAAATATTTAAAAAAACAATACAGTTTTTTTAATATTTTCTAATATAGAATTCTACAAGACAGAATAAACTAGATCATATATTCTTACATTTATTCTTATATTGATATGGTTATCATGAGCTTAGCTTCAAACGGGCAGAGTTGGGATACTCTGCTCGTGTCTAAAGAAGTTATCTGGATCAACCTTTGTTTTAATCCTTACCAATCTTTTGAAATTGTCTTTGAAGTACTTAGCTCCCCATCTTTTAGCTTCTAGGAAGTTAGACTTTGAGTTATTCTTGTTCTGTCCCAGGTCTAGATCTCTGTAGTTCACATATGCTTGTCTTGGATTGCTTGAGACGTAAGGCGTCATGTAACTGTACAACTCTCTGATCCATTTGATGCGTTTGTTCGATTCCTCGCTATCTGACCAGCTCCTGTAATATTGAATCATGAAGTTGGTTCCGTTTCTATGCGGAAATGGGATCTCAGATTCAGAGATTTTATTCATCTTTCCACCGTAAGGAGTCCAAATCACTAATGCTGCGTCTTCTTCAAGCAACTTCTTGAACATCCCTTTGAGCCCTAAAACAGGAATAAGTTCTTTAGCGAAATCCGATTTCGCTTTAAAGTAAACTTTTCCAAGTGGAGACTTTGCTTGAAGCAAAATCTCAATGGGAGGAGGAGAGCTTGTTGGGAATCCAGAGCTGTAAATAATGGATTTGATCCAGTTCATTTCTATACAATCCTTCTGAGTTAGCCCTAGTTCTGGAAAATCCTTCTCCATTACCTCCATCAAGGTGCCTTTCTCGCCAAGAAACTGACCTATGTAGGCCATCGAAACTGTCTTGTTTGCTTTGTTTCCAACTACAGTGAAGAACACTCGTAAGAAGAGCTCTTCAACAAGCTTGTCCGCAACTTGTTGCCACTTAAAAAGAATCTTGAAACTTACATCTTGCTTCAATGTCTTGGTGACCGTGAAGACGGTTATGGTTTCAGGAACAGGAACAAGCTTGATCTTCCATGATAAAATTATCCCAAAACTCCCTCCACTACCTCCTCTAATCGCCCAAAATAGATCCTCCCCCATCGCGGCTCTGTCGAGTAATTTACCATTAGCATCAACGATCTTTGCGTCTAGAACATTATCTGCAGCAAGACCATACTTCCTCATCAAGGAACCATATGCACCACCTGTTATATGACCACCTATGCCTAAACTCGGGTACACACCTGCAGGGAATCCATGAATCTTGCTCTTTTCTGCAATTCTACAGTTAACAAACCAAAGATTCAGTAGTGAAAGATTGTTTACCCTTGTGGCAATTGTTTGGTTTTACATGTAGTATATATATGCTCCAAATGTTTCACACCCTTGAGCGTAGAGAAAACAAAAAATCGTTTAATTACCGTTTTTATTTGCATTTTACACAAATATTTTATGAAATACTGAAAAGTGTATAGAAAGATTTTGGGATTTAGTGATGATTTGAATCCCAAAATTTTATGTTTCCATGTTTTTTTTTACTTTTTTTTTTTCATGGAGCCATGTAGTATTTAGGATTAACATCCTAAATTTTCATTTTTTGAAATGATATTTATATTCTTATAAAAAAAAAAAGGATTTTGGGATTTGTACATTTTACTTGATTTAAAAAATCCATACAAGAGTGGGCCAATATAATTGCAGACTTTAGGACCAAAAAATGTTGTTCTTGGGTCTTTTAATGTAAGAAATATGAAAATTTTGAATGTTCTTTTAGAAGAGGTTTTTAGATATTTTATTTCAGCTGTAAAAATCTAAAAGGACTGAAATTTTTGACCACAGGGCTCTTTTATATTACCTGTAGTAAAGCTCACCAATAGTAGCACCAGCTTGAACCCAAGCACTATTGTCTTCAATATCAATATTGATTTGTCTCAATTTCGACAAATCGATTAATACGAACGGTTTTTCGATCCGTGAAACATAAGACACGCCCTCGTAATCGTGACCGCCGCTTCTAACACGAAAATGTATTCCAAGTTTCTTCGAACAGATGACAGAAGCTTGAACATGAGACTCATGAATCGGCCTAAATATGAATCCCGGTTTAGGCATTGCCTTGGTCAGTAACCGTTGATTTTGAGCCGTCGATTCAAAGACTTCGGTGAAGATCGAAGAGTTTCTTTCAGGAGTGAAGAACGTTTTGTCGAGTGGAAAACGGACATTTGTGTTTTTGTGGAGACATTTGATGAAATCATCTTGTAGAGAGGTTGAAGAAGCTGGTGTTATTGTAACGAAAGAAATATATAGGGCTAAAAACGATATACAAGAAATTATAGGGCGTGGTTTTGAAACTTCCATCCTTGCAGCCATAGTATATGCAAGAGAGAAGCCAAACATATAGTTAAGCAAGCTTCAAGATGGAAATGGATGTATATATATTGTTCTTGTCAAAGAAGAAATGAGTTTCTATTTTTTTAATAAATATAGAAGATTGTGAATTTGTATAAAATAAGATCCGTTGAATTTCTCTCTACATTATTCAAAAATGGCTTGATTGTCAAAGGATTATAGGTGAAATGATAGCAACGTGGCAACCATTTTCCACATGTTTTGAAAACGTTAAATAATCTACTTCAAGTTGACCAAAAAAATGCTATTAAGTTAAAAGATTTTTATGGATTCAATTTGTTTCTGTAAGAATTATTTAGGGTTACACGTATATTAATCAATGTGTTAAACCTATTATTCAAATATATTAAAATGTATGTGGTTATTTTGAAATATATAAAGTAAATTATGTAGGGTAAAAGTGTTATGAAATTAATGCATAAACGTTCTTAGTAATTCCTAATTTGATGAATGATCGAATTAGGAATTAATCTCTATATAAATAGAAAGTTATGTGTATGTTTATTGAACACGTTGACTCTTTGTTTTTGTTCTAGCGTCAAAACGGTATTTTTAATTTTGACGGTTAAACAGCTAATTTTTTACATCAAAATATGATTCCATAATTTTGGGATTTAAACGAATTTCCATAGTTATTCTGTTAAAACTGGGTTTTTAATTTTGGCATGACAACATGATTGTGTAATTCCTTAGCAAATTGGGTATTTTTTTATAATAATTTTAATGTAAAATGATAAATTTATTTAAAATATGATATCATTTGAGTTATGTAGATATCCAATTATTTTGTTAGTTTGTGATCATGAGGAGTTAGGAGGCATAATGATATTAATTTGACCAAGAACTATCGATTTAAAGTTTTTAACGACTTGATTCCACTAAGAACAAGAACAAGAACAATAACAAGCCTTTAAACTGGTACTAAGAAGCAACATTTCAAATTTAAAGTTAAACAAAGTACTACAAGCATAGCTAGAACATATTTCCGAAATACCGAAGAACCATTATCTGATTTTCTTCTAATTTATTTTCTTATATGATTGATCTAGTTGTCGTTACATCATAGGTGGAATGCTCTGCTCGTGTCTGAAGAAGTTCTCTGGATCAACCTTTGATTTAATCATCATCAATCTGTTGAAATTTTTTTTGAAGTAGTTAGCTCCCCAGACTTGAGCTTGTTTGATGCATGTTTTCACGTCTTTCGTGTTCTTTCCGAGGTCTAGATCACGGTAGTTCACGTAAGCTTCTCGTGGATTACTTGAGACATAAGGTGTCATGTAATTGTAGAGATCTCTGATCCAGTTGATGTGTCTGCTCGGTCTCTTGTCGCTGTCTAGCCAACTTGTTACGTACTGAACCTTGAAAAGGACTCCTTTTCTATGCGGGAAAGGGATTTGTGATTCGGGGATTTTCGCCATCATTCCTCCGTAAGGGTTCCATATCATCAATGGAATATCTTCTTTAAGTAGCTTCTTGAAGATCCCTTGAAGCCCGGATTCGGGAATCGGCGTTTTCACGAAATCCGATTTGGCTTTGAAGCTGACCTTTGGGTAAGGCGACTTCCCCTGAAGCAAAACACTAGTAGGAGTGTGGCTCGGGAATCCAGAAATGTAAGAAATGGATTCAAGCCAGCTCATTTCGATACAATCTTTAAGTGTTAGCCCTAGCTCGGGGAAACTCTTCTTCATAACTTTCATCAATGTGCCTTTTCCGCCAAGAAACAAAGCGTTGTACGATGTCGTCACAGTCTTGTTCCCACCGTTTCCAGCTACGTTGAAGAGCACTCTAATGAATAGCTCTTCAACAAGTTTGTCCGCAACTCTTTGCCACTTTGAGATAATCTTGTTGCCAACGTCTTGATGTAACGTTTTGGTGACGGTGAAGACGGTCACGGTCTGAGGAACGGGAACAAGCTTGATCTTCCATGATAGAATTATCCCAAAACTCCCTCCAGCGCCTCCTCTAATCGCCCAAAATGTATCCTCACCCATCGCGGCTCTGTCGAGTAATCTACCATTGGCATCAACAATTTTTGCGTCTAGAACATTATCTGCACCGAGACCGTATTTTCTCATCATGGAACCGTATGCACCGCCTGTTATGTGCCCTCCTATGCCTAAGCTCGAGCACAAACCCGCCGGGAACCCATGGACTTTGCTCTTCTCCGCAATCCTACAAGTACCAAACATTTTAATCAAATATATTATCAAAAATTCAATTGTTGAAAGATTGTTTTTATGTTTTGTTTGTTCATTATTGCTTTTATTTATACCTGTAATAAAGTTCACCAACTGTAGCACCAGATTGAACCCAAGCACTGTTGTCTTGAATATTAATGTTGACCTGTCTCATCTTTGACAGATCCATCAAGATAAACGGTTTATCGATCTGAGAGACATAAGACAAGCCTTCGTAGTCGTGACCGCCACTTCTGACACGGAGATGCATTCGGAGTTTCTTGGAACAAATAATGGAAGCTTGTACGTGAGACTCATGAAGCGGGCTGAATATGAACCCCGGTTTAGGCATGGATTGTTTCAAGAACCGGAGATTCTGAGCCGTGGATTCAAGAACTTGGGTGAACATAGAGACATTTTTCGTAGGAGCAAAGAATGTTTTCTCAAGTGGGAAGTAAACATGTGTGTTTCTTTGGACACAGTTGATGAACTGATCCTGTAGGGAGGCTAATGAAGAAGTTGGTGTTATGGTGTAGAATGAAAAATAGAGGACCAAAATCGAAAGAAATGAAAATAGAGGGAGTGGTTTTGAAAATCCCATTATTTCTGTGAGTAAGTTCCTCTCCTTTTTTATTGTTTGCTACTCTTTGATCTCAACAGCATCTGCAAAATTCAGTGTATTTATAAGGAAAAAAGCTACCTTTTTTACACGCTCTATTCTATCTTAAAGTTTCCACAAATGTAATGTACAACTTTATTTTCTTCTCTATGAAAATCATTGCTCAAAGGCCTAAACTCTTTGCATTAAGTAGTCATTGATTACAATAATATTGAACCAAGTCAAGTTTTTCATCATGAATCGTTTGATTTTAGTGATACCACAAAAACTCAGTGCCATTTAAAGTTAAAACGAAGAAAGACATTTTTAAGAGACTTACCAACTTGAGCGTAAGCGTTGTGGAGATGAGATTAAGGCGATGAAAACGGAAGAACATTTAAGTGTGTGACTAGTGTGGTGTTAGAGTAATGAAGACTAGCTAGAGAAATATATAGTAATAGAGAAGAAAAGCAAAAGAGAAATATAAAACTATATTTAGAGTCGTTACTATATATTCTTAACTTTAACTTTCTCCACTGTTATTTGTCAAATTCACTATTTGTTCTTTACCGAACTAAATTTTGTTTATTTGCATATAACTAATTCACTATTGTATTCAAGTGTTTAATTTGAGTCAAAAGTTTTTTGACATATGTGTGAAAATATGAAAATATTAAATAGACCATTGATTTTTCCAGGTGAACGACGACGAGTGAGATAGCCAAATTTTTCTATGGTGTGAATGTGACGACAGCCATTGTCTCAAGTGACGCAACGTGACAGACTTTTTTTTCTTGTCATGGCCTCAAAAACGTTGCACTTAGTGTTTGTAGAAGAAAACTAGAAGTATACGTTAAGTAGAGGCAGCAAAATATTCGTGTAATCCGTATTTTAAGCTGTTTTTGTTTAATTTTAAATTTAGATGCAATTTGATAATTCCCATAAATTTAATCTAGTATTTTGATATACATTTTTAGAGGGTGAGACAAAATGCATTTGAATACAATGGGTATCTGATCCGTTTATAAATTTTGGTCATAAAAGTTTGTTGGGTCGGGTAATACTTAACCCAACTCATACACCGGATATTCCATATTTAATAATTTAGATATTTAGAAGATTTGATTAAGATTTAGAATTATAATCCCCTATTATCTTTGTTTGATAAAAATATCAATTTTTTTAGACAATGATTCATAATCATATCATAAATAAGATCAACATTAGGTTTTTTGGCGGGACGGGATTGGTTTTTGAATCAATAATAATAAAAAATTAAAATATCATTAATCCGCCGCTTCAATACGGATTAAATCCTTAATTTTTTAATACCACCAATATTAGATATATCAAATCAGTCTTATTTAGAAAAAATTGTATAAAACCAAAAATTGTCCCGTGATATAATGTTACTTAATAACAATTATAAACTATACAATATAATTGTCTTAGAGGATGATACAATTTGCAAATTTTTATAAATAATAAATAATCGTTAAATTTTTAAAACTACTACTTTTAAAAAACAAATCACGGGAGGGGTTAAGAAATTACAGGACGGGTTATATTCCGAAACAGAGTTATATGGTGGACGAGTTTGAATCAATATTTATAAAATTTTAAAATATCATTAACATGCCGCTTTAATACAGATTAAATCATCGGTTTATTAAAATATAAGTGTCTTAAAGAATGGTTGACAAAAAAAAATGATACAATTTGTAAACTTTATATATAATAAATAATCATAAAACTTTAAAATCACTATTTTTAGAAAACAAATCTCGGGGCGGGTTAAGAAATTACTGGACGGGTTATATTTTGGAACGAGTTAATATGGCGGACGGGTTTGAATTAATATTTATAAAATTTTAAAATATCATTAACATGGCGCTTTAATACAGATTAAATCCTCAGTTTATTAATAATTGTCCCGTGGACTCGTGGTATACCGTTATTTAATAACAATTGTAAACTATAAAGGAGATACAATTTACAAAATTTTATTTATACTAACTTTAAAAAATAAATCATCATGCGGGTTAAAATCTAGTTGTCATATTAAAAGATAATATTTGTTCGTAAACGCGGTAAAATATTAAAAATGAAAATTTTAACATACAGATATGTAATATACATCCTGGATTTAGAAATATATATATATATATATATATATATATATATATATATATATATATTGTATAACACATGTATAATATGAAGAAAATATCTGTATTTAACTTATTGTGTAAAACTGTTTAAATATTTTTAAAAGTTGAGAAA